ATATTTGAATGCTTAAAATATGGTATATCTTAATGGATGCTCCATTTGTGCTTGAAAACTGTCCATTCCTGTTATTGTTCAGTGACGGTTTCTATAAACGTCAGTTAGGTCATATTGGTTAACAGTATTGTTCAAATCTTTTATATTCGTATTGTTTATGTCTATGTGTGCTACCAATTTGTGACAGAGGAGTGATGAATCCTCCAACTGTAGGTATGAATTTGTCTGTTTCTTCTTATAGTCCTACAAGTTTTTGGTTCAGGTATTTTGAAGCTCTGTTGTTAGGTGAATATACATGTAAAATTGTTATGATTTCTTGAAAAATTGGGCCTTTTATCATTATCTGAATCCGCTTTTTATCTGGTAATATTCCTCATTTTGAAGTCTACTTTGTCAAATAGAAATATAACTACTTACAGCTTTCTTTTGGATAGTCTTTGTGTGGTGTGCCTTTTTCTATCCTTTTACTTTAACCTATGTCATATTTAAATGGGTATCTTAGTGACATTATTTTTTAATTTTTATTGAAGTATAGTTGACTTACAGTGTTGTGTTAGTTTCAGGTGTACAGCAAAGTGATTCAGTTCTGCATATACATAAGGGTAAGGTTTAGTAAACATTCATTTACTCTACAAATGTTTACTGAGCACTTCTGTGTGGGAAGTACTTTTTTGGGAGGCAGAAGTGAATAAAACAAGCACATAGTATCATTAGGATCTTGGGGCTCATATTCTCAATGGGGAGGGTGGGACAGAAAATAAACAATATGAATAATATGTATATAAATTTTATAGTGTAAGTTGTTAAATGCCATGGGGAAAAAAGAGATAAAATGGGAGAGAGTAAGATGTCAGTAGTACCATTAGGGTTTGCCTTCAATTTTTAATAAGGTAGTCAGGGAAGTCTCATTAGAAAGTAATTTGATTAGAGACTTGAAGGAGAAAAGAGAGTTCACTTGGTGGATATTTATTTGGGAGGGAGAAGCAGCATTTCCAGGAGGTAAAAATAGCCAGTATAAAAAGCCCCCAGGCAGGTGCGAGCTTGGCACGTGTGAGAGCCAGGAGGCCAGTGTGGCCACATTCGAGTAGGCCAGGGAAGATGAGCAGGGCGCGGTGTCAGAGAGGTGGGTGGTGGGGACCAGATGACGCATGTTCCGGTAGGCTGCGGTACAGACCTTGGCTTTTATTCAGAGGTGGATGAGGAGGCACAGTAGGGTGTTGAGTAGAGGAGTAACATGATCTGACTTTCATTTTAAAAAGCATCCCTCCAGCCACTGTGTTGGGAACAGGCTGGGGTACTGAGTATGAATGGCATAATCAAATTGTCATGCCATTTAATAAGGGTGACCTTTAAAGATTTCTCCTATGAGTCCAATTCAGAGTTCCTTCTCCCTTCCAGTAAATTGTATTTAATTGTCAAAAATGAAGCATGACTTTATTCTACAATTAATGGGACTTAAAATGCTAAAGTGCACATCATAATGGTTTAAACTATACACCAGTAAAATTTGAAAAATATTCTGATATATTTCATACAATCAACTTTGTGATGTCCCTGCTTTGTCATTAATCACGTACATTTGGAATGTCCTGAAAGCGATATATACTGAATTTCCAACGTTTTTCATCCTTTTACAATTTCTTTAACTTATATTTGCTGTATTTCTCACTCAACCAGATAGTAAAATACTAAACATTAGTATTCTGTAGTGTGAAGAAGAAAGTCACAGAAATGACTTTTTAAGCTAAACATTCTGCTACGCATTTTCCCACCTCAGCCCTCCAGGTAGGCTCATTGTGTACAAGGTTGACGATTAACCCAGATTTTCCGTCACCCTGATTTGCATACTTTGTTGGCGTAGTGGCACGATTAGCAGAAAGCTTGCTGCAAGGGCAGACCAAAAGTTATAGCTGCTGAAATTTTGAAAATAATACTGACAAACAGTATGCATGTATTCCTGTTACTATATTTAATATTTTCAGTGATACTCTTTTTAATGAAAATCCCAGCTCAGTAACTAATCACAGGTTTTTTGATAACCGAACATTAAATTCAATTCCAGTTGAAATCTTATGACTGTATTTATTTCTATTTTCTTAGGTTCTTTTTTTCTGACTGACTCTCATTCCGATCCCCAATAAAACCCCCAAAATGCAGGTATATTGACTACCTTGTTCACTTCCTAATCCCACATGTCAAAACAATGCCTCAGATAACAGGCTCTCAGTTTTGTTATGGTTGTTGAATAACTGAATGAACTGTGATAACATTGGATTTGAAAGATTCTCTTCTTATTTCCTCTGTGTACAACGGTTTCCTGTTTCCTTGAGCTGTCTACCTAGATAACTTACAGATACCTCGTATGCAGTCTGTCTATAACTGAACATGCTTCTCACGGTTTCAGATTCGGTCCCTGCAGCGTTACCTGCACTTGCCACCCATTAGACCCCTCAGGCCAGAAATCTGGGAGTAGTCTTTCACTCATCCTTTTCCTTTATTCCCTGCATGCAGCTATTCACCAAGTGGCATAACATCTACATCTTGATTATTGCTCAAATCTCTTTTACTCTTTGCATCTCCACCATCACCACCCTGGCTGCCAAAGGTGCAACCACCATCTCTTTCCTCGATGACTGCAGTAGACTTTTGAAATCCTTACCCTGGCTGCAGGCTAATTCGGTCTCCATTCCCCACAGTCTAAGAGATTACTCCGAAATGCAGATCTGTCATCTCGCTTCTTTGTCTAAATTGTAGTTGTCCATTGCTATTTTTTTTTAATTGACATGTAGTCAGTTACCATGCATCAATTTCTGATTTACGGCACAATGTCCCAGTCATGCATATACATACAAATGTTTGTTTTCATATTCTTTTTCATTAAAGGTTATTACGAGGTATTGAATATAGTTCCCTGTACTGTACAGAAAAAATTTGTTTTTTAAATCTATTTTTATATATAGTGGCTAACATTTGCAAATCTCAAACCCCCGAATTTATCCCTTCCCACCCCCTTTCCCCCAGTAATCGTAACACTGTTTACCACGTCTGCGAGTCTGTTTCTGTTTTGTAGATGAGTTCATTAGTGTCCTCTTTTTTCTTTTTTTAAATTCCATGTATGAGTGTTATATAGTATTTTTCTTTCCCTATTGCTTGTAAGATAAGGGTAAAATTTTATGTTACGGCTTCTGAAGTCATCCTGATCTAGCCTCACACCTAATCCTCTCATGCTGTATTTGGCTTTAGTTTTTATCTTCCAACCATATTCCTTCTTCTAGTTTCTGGAAGGGAACATGGATTTCCCCCATCTGGTGCCTTTTGCAATTCCTAGAGTAATCTCACCGTCCCCTTACTCCAACCTCCACCCCACTTTACTCTCACCCCTCCCACAGCTCTCTTTTTTTTTTTTGAACTGAGTTATTATATTTGCTTTTCAGATCTTAGCTTAAACATCTTTTTGTGTTTGTATGTGTGGGATTTGTTGTTTTTTTCATTTTTGTTTTACTTTACAGAACAGGTTTGTTTTTCCTATTCTCACTTCCAGAGTACTATGTAATTTCCTTTGCCCTTTATTATTTACTTTAATTCTAATTACTGTATTTTTAACATATACCTCCCTTCTGCTACATTGTAAGCATTAAGAGGTTATGGGACATGTCCTGTTTAATGACTTATCCCCACTTGCAGTACGCTGTTTTGGACCCAGAGTGGAATCCATAATGTGCTATTATAAATGAACACATTGATAAATCTCAAATGAACTTTTTGAATAGAATTTAATTTTTATCAAGTAAACCGTGAATAATATAAACCCTACTCTTTCTATAATGATGGTGGTTCAAATTAATTCTAAATATCATGCTCTTCAGATCAGA